TTCTTAGTTCAGGTGATTGGTTAAATGCATGTGTTGCTATTGAAAGAGCATTTACTGCTATTCAAGGATTAAATTTTAACAAATCAAAAAGTAAATATATAGCGAAATGTGTTCTACCAATAATATTTCTATTAATAATTATTTCTTATATTCATGATCCAATATCTCGTGAATTATTTGATGATGAAGATGAATCAAGAATATGGTGTATCGTATATTATTCATCAAAATTAAAAATATTTGATACATTTATCAATATATTTCATTTTTTAACACCATTTATAATTAATTTTCTATCTGCTTTAATTATCATTACTAAAGTATTTAAAACTCGCACAAAAATTCAAAAAAATTTAAAACATAAAACTCTTATTTATGCTGAAATCAAACGACACAAACATCTTCTTATTGCACCATGTGTTTTAATTATCTTAGCTTTACCTCGTTTGATTATATCGCTTCTCTCTCGATGTATGGAATCAGCTCGTGATCCATGGCTTTTTCTCGCCGGTTATTATGTTTCATTTTTACCATCTTTACTTATCATTGTAGTATTTGTATTACCTTCAGAAAAGTATAAAGATGAATTTCTTAGAATACTAAGAAAAAAACATTTCCGCTGTCGTCAATAACAGTCCTATAAAAGATATACCCATGATTCAGAAATTAGAAACTCTGTAGAATGCTACACGATAAAAATACTAGAGAAATCTTAGCGTCTTCAAACGTGAATGAAATTCAAGAAATTCAACAGAATTCTATATAATATTAACACAAAAAATATCCATACCGTGTAATGTGTTACCAGCTTTTCGTCTTCATTCTCACGTTGTCTAATGTGTTTCGAAGATGTTTGTGTTCACCCTTGCCCTTCTTAGTGTTAATTTCGAGAATTCTATTGAATTTCTTAAATGTTCATGGAATGTTAGAACTGGTAAAGTTCTTCCAATTCTTTTCATGTTCATAGATGTATAGATTTTTCTTTTATGGAATTCTAGAAATTCTATAGAATTGCTAATCTCTGAATCGTGAGTATTGCTGTATTTTATTTAAAATAAATGTTTCGATGTAACTCAGACGAATTGATACAAATAAATATAACCGATAAGCTTGATGAACGAAAAGGTTCTTCTAAATGCATTAGAATAGAATGATGATTATGTGAAAATTGATGTGTTTCTTCTTTTGAATAGACATGAAGTTAGTAGAATATTTGAAATATGTCGGTATGATGTTCTTTGAATATACAATACAACAATTTCTCTCTTTAATGCATTAGATTATTTAAACTATTTAGGATAATGTAAACAAGATTGCATTCTATATTATAATGGATATTACTAGATTTTTATTTAATATTGATAAGTTTTTGTTATTAAAATTGCTTATGATCAAATATATTTTGTTGATAGTATACATGAGAGGAGAAAATGAGAAGTACGATTCCGATGAACATTATTCTCGTTCGACAACAAATAGACATTTTACAAAAAAATCAACCGAATGAAATGGAAGAGCGCAGTAATAAATACCATCAAGTAAGTCTATTATCAATGTTGAAGCCGTGTTTTCGCATCGAAATTGGAGACGAGAAAGAAAATATTGTACTTTTTTTGTATCCTATTTCAATTATCAGAATAGCAGTATGAAAATCAATATTATATCAATAGATTATTTATAAAGCTACATAGACGTCATTCAACATCATTTACTCATTATAAATACTTAAATAATTTCACATTTTTGTTTAACAAAACGAAATAACTAAATAGAAAGAAAAACAAAAAATAAATTTTTATTACTTGTATACAAATATTTGACTAATATCCAGTCTCAATTTTTTTTGTTCTTCACAGAAATACTACTTCATTTATGTTTCTCGAAAAACAAAACAGATCTCTTTATCTAATAATGGAGGCGTTTGTATTGTCAGTTAAAAAGATGAAACATATTCGGGTCAAAAGAAAACTTTCACCGCCAAACTAACAAGGTTAAAATATTAGCGGTCCTTAGCTTGTCTATAGGGAGATATTCGATTTCTACGATACTCACAGTTTGAGTATATAGAAACGTTAGGATTATTTACATTAACTTTTATTCAATCAACTAACGAAGGAAAGTTCCCAAATGTGAGTCTCAGTTTTGAATGAGATATATACCAGTTTGTGAAACTCGATGAGCTGATTCTCGTGGTATGTTCCACTATCTCCATAAAACTTTAAATAAGAAAAATCGATCAATTTACTAGTGAATTTCTTCAATTTGCATAAGTTTTTAG